GCAAGAAAAGAACCAAGCTCAGAGAACCCCAAGGACTCCACAGTTCATCCCTGAGCTACACATATTCACTGATATAGGTGAAGGGAGTTCAAGAGGAGGCAGTCCCTTGCCTTACCAAGGCTCGGGGATGGGAGGGACCAAGCTGGGAATGGCTTAGATTGGGGTGGATCCTTGCCTAAGAACCAGTGGTATTTGATTAATGACGGCACCAGGAACTGCTGGGATTGCCGTTGCTAAGCGATGCGATCACATGATGTTGCACTTTACAACCACATTGATTAGTGATGGAAATTCTGGTCCCAATTACCATCATTAACCAAGGAGTGCCTGTATGTACTTTTGGCAGTCAAAGGCTGCATTGTCAGGTTCAGCCCAAGAACGAAACAGTCCAGTCCAGTGTAGTTCCTTTATTGCTTACACACTATAGACAGAATCTCGCCAGACTAAACCTATCCTAAAGCCACTAGCAGATATACCCTGTGAAAGTCTAAGGAGGAGCTAGCCTCAGCCTCTTCTTCTTCTCATGGTCCTGCTGCGGGCTGAGAAAGTGCTTGCCTCGCCCCTTCCTTTGGAATGCACCCCCTCCCTCCTGATAGCCTTGATCTCTCATACCAGTCTCCTCCTTGCAAATCCATAGCAAGATTCACTAAATCAACTGGTCATCATTTCTAAAAATTAAATTGTACAATTCAGTAGGGAAAAAAAATAACACAAAACCAAACAATGATATTGGAAATCCCATATTGGACTGACAAAAATATCACAACTTTTGATCTAGAAACCATTATTTCACATTTTGTTACTCTTGCTTGTTTAAAAGAGAGAGAGTAGCTATCCCTATGTTTTTTTTTTTTAACTGGCAGAATTAGATGAAATCAATAGATAAGTTGCTTCTCCCAAATTAAATAGTTAAGTTAATAGGTAAGTTGCTTCTCCCAAATTAAAGAAAAGCATCATGTACAGTTTTGAGATTTCTACCAAAAAAACACAAAACCCTCCCAATTTATTTGTAAGCAATTATTATGAAAATGATAAACACAGCAGAAAAGGTTCCTAACTATGAATTCTGCAAGATTTCAGAATGTGTCAACGTTTTGTTAAATGGGGAGTCTTTAAATATTTTGACAGGATAGGAGTGATCGCTTCTCCTTCTTGCTGTCCCATGTAAAGTATAGAATAAAAGAAAAAGACTCAAACACAACACATTTTTCAAGCATGCCCCCATGCTGCACCTTCTCAAATGCCACTTTCAAGTAACAGTGCTTCATTTTAGTCTTTTGCAAATGTGGCCAAGACATATTTATTCACTTTTGAATTCAACCAATCTGATCCCCAGGGGTGGAGAAGCACATCCCCATCCAGCATATTTAATGCAATTAAGGTTAGAGCTTTACGTTAGTCAGTCTCTTGGAACCTTTAGATCTTCTGTATCTATCATATCCTATGGAAAGTCTGGTCTCCAATGCAATTCACTGGTTACCTTGGGTCTGATGGGAGACGGTCTAGGCCTCTTCTTCACTTCAATCCATGCCTCTGAGTCCAAGTCAGGCAGGCTGGCAGAAAGGCCTTTAGGTAGTGTCTTCAGATTAGTAACTTCTTCTGTCTTGCTTGGCACGGGACTGGCAGAGCGGGGAGAACCAGGAGCAGATTCTGTAACATGTATTTAAATAAAGTATCTGTATAGGCAAATGACTTCCTTTACAAAATATCAACAAAAATAACCTCTATATCGTAAATTAGCCTTGGATGAAAAGAGAACGAAGACGTGGCACTCCTACTGGAGAGCCAACACTTAGTTTTAAGGTAAATGGACTAGAAGACGTTGTTTACATGTTTTAATTCTACACTGTATTAACAATGCATGAAAAAAGGTAGGTTATGTCGTGCAATTTTTTGTCAGAGTCTTACTTGGCATTTAATTTTTATAAAACCAGCCCAACTTTATTTTTACCAACTGGGATGCCAACTTCCTTACAATGAAGTAAACGAGTACTGTAATATTTATTTACATTAGTCTCCATTTCTACCCTGATCTTGCCTGCTTTCCCTTTTTCCCTATCCACTTTTCTAACATAATCCCCTGCCACATCATACAGTACCTGTCCAACCCTACCCTAATGCTCAGGCATTCTCACCAGAAAAATACAATTGGGAAACATATTATGAAACAGACAGAATCCAGTCTGATCACAACAAAAAGTGTATCTTAGCAACATACTCACAACATGAGCATAGGAAGCAAGTTTGTACTTCCCAATATCTCGATTAATTATGATAATTATGATAAGGGAGGCTGGAGACAGCCTCGAGCAGAGTAGGCAGGGAGGCTGGTACTGTAGCAGAATTCCCAACTGCCGCTCAGGCCCAACCTCACAAGTAAGGTCTATTTTTGGAGCAGTGTCCCTAGTGACCTTCAGTCTCCTGGCAGACAGTGGCAACTCTCCCACCATGGAGGTGTGGCTGGTGCCACACCTGAAACCCCACTGGGCACATTTCTAAGAGGGGCACTCGCTCCTCTTTGCCCAGCCGGGACTTGGTAATGCATGCCAGGTCAGCCCTCTCATCCAGGATCAAATCCCGGATGAGATGAGGTTTATTAGAGGCCGACCTGACATTAAGCAACACTAAGATATTAATGAATGCCCACATAAGGTAATTTTAATAGCCCAGAGACTCTGGATAAAATACCAAAATGCTGTCCTTTTGTAAATCTGTTCTGTAAAATACATGTTTGGCTTGAACTCAAATTAAGCAGCAACAACAAAAATCAACAGGTTTGGTGTAGCACATTTGATTTTCAGATTTTCCATCTGTACTGACCTGTCTCTTTTTGGAAGCTCTGTCTGGGCACAAACTCTGGGCAGTTGATTAGCTGAGAGAAATCAGTTTGTGCATAGTCTGTCATGGGAGGGCCAGGTAAAGGCCACTTGTCTGGTTCTTCCTTTCTTCTGATTTTCTGGTCCACGATCTCCACCACTTTGCTATCTTTTAATGCCTGGAAAGCAAGCCCTTATTTTCAGTATTAATATATCAAAACAAGGCAAGGAGGGGTACTGCAAATATCCTGCAGATACCTGTTCTCTGACAGTGAAATGGGAGTTTTAAACACATCTGAAACAGTAAGTAGAGAAGACAAAATGATTTGAAAATTGTCAAACATATTATAGTTGTTTAGGAGTCAAGCAGCCTATAAATTGGTTTTTATTTTTATATATGGAGAAACCATATTTTCTAGTGTCATACTAGCATGGCTGAAATTGGGAAAATCATCCCATTTTTCCTTTTTATTTAAATATTTCTGGCCTTTTCCTGTCTTTTTTAAATGTTCTCCTCCCATGCATTCCAATGGTAGGCAAAGGAACAATGCCAACTTTAGTACAGGAATAGTTGTTTCCCTACTCCAGGGCACACCTGGGTAACAAGGAGCTCTCAAACCAGAGGAAACACAAGCATCATCTGCAGATCTATGTTCTCACTGGAGCCTTATGAAGGTGTCTTTCTCATTCCAGTATTGGAAAGGGAGATCCAAAAACTTCTTTGATTATAAGGATGCCTCTCAAGAACCATGAAATGGCAGCCTTGAGGGTTTTAATGAGATCAAACTCATGAAGTGACAACACATGAGAGCTAGCTTGGCGCAGTGGCTAAGGTGCTGGCCTAGAATCCAGGAGATGGTGAGTTCTGGTCCCGCCTTAGGCATGAAAACCAGCTGGGTGACTTGGGCCAATCACTCTCTCCCTCTCAGCCCAACCCACCTCACAGGGTGGTTGTTGTGGGGAAAAAAGGAGGAGGAAGGAGTATTAAGTTTGTTCACCGCCTTGAGTTATTTATAAAATAATAATAAAGGCATGATAAAAATCTTAATAATAATTTTAAAAATTCAATAAGTCAATGGAAGAGATTTTTAGTGCAAGTTTCAAAGGGATAGTATGGCATAACCAAGAGTGAAATGACATCACACTCCAATGCATAGGTAGCCATGTGGGCACAGTTTATCCCTTACCTTAATGATAAGGCCAACATCTGTGGTTAGGGCCTGTACCCGATGGAAACTGGCAATGAGAGTGATGGGAAGGAAACCTTCAGTGTCCATTTTCCGCCTTAAGAAGAAGTCTCTTTCCAAGTTGTCGACACTGAAGTAATATTCTCTGAAAACAGCAAGTAATGGAAACTGTTATTTATGCCACATGCTGAATTACACTAATATCACTTCACTCTCCCAAGAAAAGTTTCTACTCAAGTGTAAGAAAACTATTATTCTATCATATCTATAATTTCTTAAACAGGTCCCAATCTAAGATAGTCTTACTTTTGTATGTATTATATGGGTAAGGGAAGACTTTTGAATACTAACAGAAGACATGTCTGTTCCAGAATAATCTCAGTAATTGTATCAGAATTGTTCCAATTGCATTGCCATACTCTGTGCCAGAGCGTACCAACTTCTTAAATTTGCCACTCACTTCCTCTCCATTATTAGGCAGTTTGCTGGTACTGAAAATATAGAAATCAAATACCAAAAGAGGTAAACTCTCTTTCTCCATCCCTCTTCTTGCAAGTGACAGAACTATCACTAGCCTGACAGATAGAGTGGGGCAAAAAAGTATTTAGTCAGCCACCAATTGGGCAAGTTCTCCCACTTAAAAAGATGAGAGAGGCCTGTAATTTTCATCATAGGTATACCTCCAAAATACCAGCAACAGTGTGTGAAAAAATGGGCCAAAATACCAGCAACAGTGTGTGAAAAAATGGGCCAAAATACCAGCAACAGTGTGTGAAAAAATGGGCCAAAATACCAGCAACAGTGTGTGAAAAAATGGGCCAAAATACCAGCAACAGTGTGTGAAAAAATGGGCCAAAATACCAGCAACAGTGTGTGAAAAAATGGGCCAAAATACCAGCAACAGTGTGTGAAAAAATGGGCCAAAATACCAGCAACAGTGTGTGAAAAAATGGGCCAAAATACCAGCAACAGTGTGTGAAAAAATGGGCCAAAATACCAGCAACAGTGTGTGAAAAAATGGGCCAAAATACCAGCAACAGTGTGTGAAAATTGATTTCTTCACACCAAGCTGCTTGCCTATTGCAGATTCAGTCTTCCCAGCCTGATGCAGGTCTACAATTTTGTTTCTGGTGTCCTTTGACAGCTCTTTGGTCTTGGCCATAGTGGAGTTTGGAGTGTGACTGTGGACAGGTGTCTTTTATACTGATAACAAGGTTAAAACAGGTGCCATTACTACAGGTAACAAGTGGAGGACAGAGGAGCCTCTTAAAGAAGTAGTTACAGGTCTGTGGGAGCCAGATATCTTGCTTGT